ATTTAACTGTAAGAGAGGAAGGAGTTGAGGTATCCTTACCCAGTTTAGACGACGACGATGTCGTTCCTCATAGCCACTGGTTGTAGTGATCTTCTTCACCCTCGGTTTTCACTGTTTTCCCTTTCTTTCTTTCTTTCTTTCTTTTTTGGTTTAATGTGAACAAAAAATCACACCATTAGTGCCTAAGGGAAGGGGAAGGAAACAAAGAAAGGCAAACGGGCTTACTAAAATCGAGTCGAGTTTCTGATCGTAGACGCATACCTCTTCCCTCTCAGCTTACGACTTCCTTGGATTAATCTATGATGAAAATAGTTTAAAATGGTCGAGAATGGAAAAATAGAGAGAATGAGAGAAAATCACACTTACCGGGATCGGTTTCGACCTCTAACATAGCGATGTCACAATTGTGCCGCCGCCTGAATTGTCTCAAGTGTTCCTTGTTGCGTTTTCTTTGGTTGGCTAGTGGGTTAGGGTTTGGGAGGTCAGTTAAAAAAGGTTTAAATATCTCTTCTCATTTAATCTCAATCGTTCGATCAGGCTTACATGGCGCAATGGGAGTCGTTTGATCCGAGCCATTTAAGGAAAATTTGACTTTTCCTCTAGTGCGTGATTCAGACCGTCCGATCAATCAGCCTTACAGATCTGAGCCATTGATCATGCGGTTGTTGGATCAATTACGTGATCCATTTAGGCCATTCATTTAAATCTGGGCGGGGCGTGATTAGGATCATCCGTGTGCGCGGGAACAAGTGTAGACCATTCGATCATTTTGGCATACAAATCGCTAGCATGGACTCTCGCGTGGAGAGCCTGCTTGCGCAACCATCACATGGTGCGCTCTGGTTCGCCATGTTGGGGACTCTACCTCCACGTGGTCTACTTTTTTTAAATTGCAGTTTAGCCCCTGCTTATCCAACTCTTCTTCAAATGGATCCCTATCTAGTTATGAAGGGGTCTTGATTTTGAAATTTGTTTTCAAAAGGTCCCAAATGGGTTTTCTTAGTTATTTCTTTGCATTTATTTTCGAATTTAATTTTATTTTAATATTACTGATATTATTATTATCATCATTTAATTAAATTTAAAATTATATTAAAATTGTTGTTTTATAACAAAATTTAACTATCTCCAATTCGAGATATTGCATTTCCAATCACTGTTCAATTGAATGATTGATATATTTATTCATTTATAGAGGATTTGAATTGTCCTCCTATATTTATTATAGTTTAGAGATTATTTCTATTTTATCATAATTAATATATTTATACTATCTAATTAATAAAATATTATACATTTTAAATAAATAATAGCAACAAATAATGGTATGAAAGTTTTTAAATTCCATATTGATTTGAAATAAAATTAAACAATTTCTTTTACGAGGTGGCATCCCTACTTTTTTGAAATTTCTCTTTCTACTTTTTCTTTCACAAGTGGCCTCACCGCCTTTCTTAAACATTTCTTTTTGATTTTTTTTTTATAAATTTTATTGTTCTTGTTTTTAGTTTTCTCTTTGAAATTCTCTCTTTAAAGGTGATTTCAACAATTATAAATATTTTTTAATTTTTTATTTCCCAGTTTTTCCTTTTCTAGTTTTATTTTTATTGTTTTTTTCTTTACTATTTTCAATTATATATATATTTAAAATAAAATATGTCCGTTTCCAAATATTTATTTCATATTTTTTCAATTATTTCAACAAAATTTAATATTTTATTAAAAATTTAATTTTATTATTCTTATTTCTTACTTTTTTAATACAATATTTTTGAGATAATAATATAGTATATAATTTAATTGTATAGACATATAAGATTGTAGTGGCTAAAATATTAAACCATCTTTATTTCTTATCAGTTTAAAAGCATCTTCGTTTGTTTGTTTGTTTGTTTGTTTTTAAACAAAAGAAGTTATTCCAAACCTCTCAGTGACGAAAGTAGAGATACAGAGCTATTACACTTGTATTTATGTGTATATATTCGTCAAGTATATATGTTCGGACATAATTACGTGGGATAATTGGCAGAGGTTCCTGTGTCGATAATATGGATACGAGTCCTCCGGTTGCAGAGAACCAGAGTAGAGCGGACGAAACAACAGAAGAGCAGTTTAGAAGGCAATGGCAGCATCTTCTACTCGGTGCTTATGATTTCAGTAGGTGTCCAAATTACAAACTACCTCATTTATTTGATTTCTTTCCTGATTTTTGAACTTTCGGTTGTTTGATTTCTCGTTCGTTAACTCCATTTTCTTTGAATAAAGTGACTGGAATGCATCACAAACGCTATCGGCCTCTGTATTTGGCTGCTCTGAAAGGGGATTGGGAAAGTGCAGAGAGATTTTTGGCGAGCGATCCTAATGCATTGACAGCGAGAATCACAACACTCTCCCAAACTGCTCTGCATATTGCAGCCATCGAAGATCGATCTCACTTTGTTGAAAAGCTCGTACAGCTTATGTCCTCAGATGCACTCGCCATGCGCGACGATGCAGGCAATACTGCTCTCCATTACTGCGCTTCAATCGGGAAAAGCGTGATAGCTGCTCGAGTGATGGTGATGAAAAACCCTAATTTGACACAAATAATCAACAGTGAAGGGATGCACGCCTCTTCATTTGGGAGCTATCTCAACAAGAGGGGAACAGATGGTTCGGTATCTTTCATCGGTCACTCAAATAAACGAGTATCCGGCGGGTTCATTTACTCCATCTTCGGCTGCTTTGCTCATTTCGATGCTAGCTCTTTCAGGATTTTACGGTGATTTCACTAATTAATTATCGGTTTGATGTTTATTGTATCTTGCTTGTGATCATGCTTTACTCTTTCTTTCCTTCAACAGATGTAGCGTTATCTTTGATTCAACGGCGTCCAGATTTAGCGACGGCCAGAACAGCTGATAATCTGACTCTTCTCCGAGCATTGGCATTAAGGGCTGAAGACTTCCCTAGTGGAACTAAGCTTGGAGTTTGGGAAAGCTGTATTTACCCATGTCAGTCCTCTTAATTTCTTAAATTTCCAAGATTAACAAAGGATTAATTAATTAATTAGTTAATTTAATTGTAATTGAAATAGTTGTGGGAATGGATTCTACACCACCATGGGAACTGGTCAGAAGCATGGTTGAAGATCCGGTTGATGATCATGGAAAAGAGGCAACCTCACCAGGTACTAATCGCTGCATTCATACTGTGATATAATTCATGCCTGATAACAAATACCCGAGTACGGAAAAGTATGTTTGATTTGATTGGACCAGCATCGTAATTATCTTTTCAAACTACATTACACAAATTTAAAATTCATCAATTAAACACAAACAATATTCTACATCACTACTTTTTATCTAATTTTGATATAATTTCCTTTTGCACTGTACTCTCACTTGAATTCTTGTTTCTCTTTTATATAAATAATATTTAAATTTTATCAATTAAACAATTCCACTTGCCACAATTTGAAGACAAATAATATTCCTTATGTACATCACACTGACAAGCTTATGTATATATGTATATAGAGATTGTGTATTTTGTTTCTTATAATACTAAAAATGGAGTCTTAAAAATGAGTTTAAGAGAATAGTTAACCAAATTTTATAAGTTTGTTGTGGCAGCTTTTTGCATGTTCTTACATATCTGACAAACATTTAATTAATAGTATAAGATTTTATAGGTCGTAACTGCATTTCCCGGGAACTTTTTTATAGAGCTAATAAACGATGTTATAGAATGTCAAAGTCTAAATTACCCTTAAGCAATTTTTAAAATTTGAATATAAAATAAGAAATAATAAGTGAAACTAAATTATTATTTTACCTTTGATTATTATTTCAATCAATATAAATACTAACAAATGTATATAAAAAATATATATTCTGGAAGATCAACAAATAGAAAATAGAAAAATTATTTTTTTGGTCAGTTTTGACAGAATCAACAGCTTATAAGCTCTGTGTTGTTTGTTAAGTACATAAATAAACTAATACATACTATAAATTAATGTTAGCCAAATATGTCAACAAGTTATTACAGTTGAAGAGCTTATAAGTTATTTATAACAACTTATAAATTCTCAGAAATAAGTTAAGGTCAACAACCTCTAAAAAAAAGAAAAATGGTTTCATTTAACTTGACTATCTGTCTTACCTAGATAAAGATTCAAAACAAAAAAGAAAATACCCTTCTAGATAAAATGTGAATATATATTTTTAATTTATATCTATTAAATACACAAACAGTCTGATTATGCATTTAAAGGAAAAAAAAAAAACTTTTTACTATTTCATTTAGTATTGTTATTGAACTAAAAGAATATGGTTTTGCTTCCAATTGCAGCCTTCAAATGGTTTAGAAGCTTGTTTGAGACAAGTATTAAAATACTAGGTATGCAGCATCATTAAGGGTATCTTCACTAACATGAGAGCTCCTATGCATAGATAATTACCAAGTTCCTACATTGCAGTTCCTGGCGTCAAGCGAATTCAAGCTATAAAGATGAGGCAAAGATGCGTCATTGAGTTGGTGAAAGTGGTTTGCACACAAGCTTCAAACATGAATTTCATCCAA